TCCCTTTCTTTTGGTTGAAGAAATTTGCTATCTTCTGAAATGGTTATAGTTTTGTACTATTGGAAAAAGATACAATCCAAAAGTAGACTGTGCAGATTTGCTATCTTCTGTAATGTTCTCTTGAGATGCATTGTATACTGCTGTATTAATTATATCTGGCTAAGGTAGACCTGCACAGATTTTATAGAGAGGAAAGCTTTCCATGTAGTTGTTCACTATGCACAAAAGCAATATGTGTTTTAGAGATATATTTTTGTCCAATATAAACTGGGGCAAAGTTGTTCCTTGTGCTTTTGTGATGTGTCTGTTTTTTTTTTTTTTTTTTTTTTTTTTTTTTTTTTTTTTTTTAATTATTTTTTTATTGGTTAGCATTTCTTCTTTTCCCTTGCTTGTGCTCATTTCTTATAATTTGTATTACTTCTCTTTCTTATTTAAGTTGGTTTTGTGATTTCTATTGACATAGAATGAGGTTTATGCATTTATTTGACAGTTTTTCTTGGAATTAATGTAAGTTCCTCGAATTCAGTCCAAACTCAGAGTTTCTTCATTTAAGCTTCAGTTTCAGTCCCAGGTAAGAAAATTTATCCTCTGCTTATTCAATTGAAAGTAACTATTTCTAAAATACTTCATGCTATCTTAGGTTTCTGATGTCAGGAAAAGTCTAAACACCGTGAAGGCAAACTTCCTTCTCCCAGACCTTCCTCTACTACTTTTCTAATATGTAAATTGAGGATATATATCATTGCTTTGATGTGTTTCTTGACTATGTTTTCATCAGATTAGGGGTTCAGCCAGTTGAAAAGAATTATGCAGACAATTCTGTCCCTAGGAAATCCTTTGAACTAGGGAACTGCAAGGGGTGAGTAAATATTCTTATGCTCTCATCCATAACTCCATAAGGGTTCTCATTGTATTTGTATGCATTTGACTTGACTTCCCTATTATTCTTTACGACCCTGTCTATCTCTGGGAGAAAGCAACCAGTGGAAGAATGATCTTTTTAACTTTTGCTGAAGGTTATTTTCTGACATATGGTGTGTTGGCCAAATTCTGTCTGAACTCTGAAATATGATGTGAGAGATTATTTCGTGGTGGCTGACAAGTGACAACCTTTTATTTGCTCTGTGTTTAGTTATTTTTGGACAGAGGGTTTACTTTTATAAAAATGCAATAGTAATTTTCTTAACTTTTTTTTTTGAGAAAATTAATTTTCTTAACTTGCAAAGCAATTACTTTATATTGTTGGGTTATGTACCTTAAATCTTCCTATTATGAAAAATTGATCTGAGACCTAATTCTCTGCAAACTCTTATATTATATTGCATTCGTAAATTTAGAATTACCTATTTAAATAAGTAAATTCAACATTTAATTATCTATGCATGAACAACTCTAATATAATATTGCATTGATATACTATTTTAAAGCACTTATATAAAAATATAAACATTGGGTATTATCTCAATCGCGTAATACTCGTGAAAAATTAGTTTCTTTATAAACAACATTTTAAGTCGTACTTTCAAATTTTACATTATTTTGATATTTTAAAAATTTTAAAATGCTTGGATTACATTCCTAAGAAATTGAGTTAATACCCAAAATGATCCTCTGACTATTAGCTAATACTCGATTTAGTCTCAAAGTATTAAATGTACTTAGTTTAGTCCTCTAACTTTTAAAATCGTACCTAACGTGGTCCTCCGTTAGAAATTAAAATCGTATCTAATGTGGTCCTCCGTTAGAAATTCCATCTATCCACCGTTAGTTTGAGGGTAAAGAAGTCAATTTATTTGGTCTAAACTTGTTTCTTCCTCTGGTCAACGTCGTTGGAGGCTTAAGCGCGTGAGTGATAACCAGATCACAGAGAAACAGAGTATTCTTCTTCCAAATCTTGTACTCGTTAATTTGCCTCTCCTCTAACTCACCCCTCATTTCGTCATTGTCTTTCCCATGAAAACGACTCCTCAGTTCACAGAACCGGCAATTTATATCCTACACCCCGGTACGCGTTGCACTATGCGCCCAGATGCAAAACGACCTCGTTTTAATTATTTTTTTTTTTTAAATTTCCCGCCCCAGTGAATGGCAGTAGTTTTTTCTTTTAAAAAAAATCCGCTGTTCAAGAATGTACATAATGTTATACTAGAATACACATAATGTTATACATGAATGTACATAATTATATAACAAAATATACACTCTTTTTAAAAGATAATACACATAATCTAACATAATACATAATAAACATAAACTTTTAACATAATACACATCAACTCTTAACATAATACACACAAATTTTCTGATCCGGATGTACATAATTGTATAAAAAGAATGTACATAATTGTATAAAAAATACACATAACTGTATGAACCAATACACATAACGTTGTAAACAAATACACATAACGTTGTGAACAAATACACATAATCTCAGCAACTTCCTACCGCGCCTCCCAACACTACCCCAAAACGACGTCGTTTTGGGAGGCGCGCGGCGCACAGTGCTATGTGCGCCGTGGTGTAGGATATAACGATTGCACAGAACCGGTGTTGGCCGCTGAATTGGAGACGTCGGCAGCGGCGAAGCGCTTGACGGCTTCGAAGACCCCTTACCATATCCTTTTGGGTGTGTTTGGTTGGTGGATTTTGTCCATAGGAATGGGTATGAAAGTGATTGTTGTTTGGTTGATAGGTTTTTAGAACACTACTATGGGTTTCGAATACCCCATCAATTGAAAAACTCATACCCAAATACAATAAGGGTTTTATTACCTTATTCATTCTCAAACACTACTATTAGTAACCATTTCCATTCCACCCTACTACCAAACATGTTAAATACTTTCATCAAAATCCATTACTATTAATAAATATTTGATACCCATTTCGATTCCGATTCCTATTAACAGAATCTGGAATTGACGCTGCAACATTTATTAAAATCGAGAATATTAAATAATAAATCAATGTATATATATTTCTAAACCATCTGAAAATTACTAATACACCAACCAAAAAACATTCGTCTATATATAAAGCTCATAAATTGAAAAAACACAAGTGCATATTTCAACTGCAATTTTACAATATCAAAAAGGAGCTCTCCCTTTGGAACCTGCACTCCCCCACTCAGGAAATAAGTCAGACGAACAGGAAGCCGCCACCGCATGTTCCATTGCCAGACTCATGCCGGAAACTCGCCGATCGCGTAACAAAACCCAAAAATTCCGGCGACCTCCGATCAACAATCTGAGCAGCAGGGGATGTTCTCGACCCTTCCCTATCACCAATAGCATCCTCCGATTGTCCATGCAGTGGCTCGCTTGAGTGGCCGTCGCTTACCGTCGAATGGCTTCCCGACCGGGAAGAGCCACCTGGGAAGGATTACCTCATGCTCTTTACTATAATCAAGCACACAAAGAATCTTGAAATATAAGCCTAAGATCTATGAGTCTAAACTAGTAAACTGAGCTAACTATGCTTACCAAATAAAATCTGAAAATACATAAAATACCCAAACAGAAGAAAATGGGGAAAGATGGCACCTTTGCAATCAACTGAGAAGAAAGAAAAAAAACAAAAAACAGACCCGGGTAATCGGTTCGAAAAATTTATAATAGAGCCAAAACACGGGAATATGACTATATTCTTCGGCGCCTGGAATCCAGTAAACCAATGGCCGGGCGGTTAGAAGCTGAGAAGGATCACCGCAAAAGCAGACAAATGAGAGATTTCTAAGTACAAATTTCTTTCACTCACAGTTCATGTGGACATCGAGGGATTTCTTAGGGTGAGAACCAGAGAAATGCGGTGGAGAAGAAGGGCTTCAACTAAATGACACTTGTGCCCTTTAAAATAACGGTGAATGGATGAAAATTCTAATGGAGGATTACATTGGGTACCGTTTTAAAAGTTAGAGGACTAAATTGAGTGCGTTTAATACTTTAAGACTAAATCGAGTATTAGGTAATAGTCAAAGGACCATTTTGGGTATTAACTCCTAAGAAATTACTAAACTACAAACTACTAACCTAACAATGACTTTAATACTATTACTAATATGTAGTTGCACCCGTGCGATGCACGGTCATATATATAAGTAATAGAATATATAGAATTATATAATAAAAAAAATAGGGTAGCCAAAAATTTGAAATTTATTAGACATTATCGAATACTTCTTTATATACGACATTTGCAGTCGTATTTTTAATTTTAATTTGCTAATTATAAACCGTTTACCTGTTGTAAGAGAACTTCTTGGTGTATCATTTGAAGTAGACACAGGTTGTGGTGTGTATTCCGTCAATGAATTATAAGTATTTTCTTGCAAAATAGATTGGGTTTGTTTTGAAGAATAAAATAATCGTAAGAAATGATACATTTGTTGCAATCCTTATCACATGCACCATGGTCCACAGAATTGCACGGACCATAAACAAAAAAAAGTTGTAAGTTACTAAGGGTTAATTATCACAATTATTTTTAATATACCAATGGTACTTAAATTTTATCTAATATACCTTCATTACCACAATTATGTAGCTTTAGTCACAAAATAAGTATTTTATTTTGTTGTTTGCAGACAATGTAGACAATTCTCGAATTCAAAACAAACACAATGCTATTTTGCAAGAAAATACTTATATATATATATATATATATATATATATATATATATATATATATATATATATATATATATATATATGTATATATTTATTTATTTATTTATTTATTTATTGCATGACGCCATGTAATATAATGAACATCAAACTTTATTTTAATTTGCATCAAAATATAAGATAAATTTTGTATTTATAAGTTGATTCTGCTGGTACATTATACATAACGAAAAAACATGTAAAGAATCAATGAATGCTAGCTACTTACTACATAACAAAGGATGAGAATAAACATTTACACGATTGAAATATATATATATATATATATATATATATATATATATATATATATATATATATATATATATATATTCAGTATATAGCTCGGTAAAGCTCATCAACAGGAGGCAACTCCTTAAACAACTTATCGAAATCCTTAAACGACAGGCCCCTGGACAGAGGCGGATTACTCTCCGCCGCCGCCACCACTCCGCCGTAATGGTGCTCATTTTTTGTGGCGGCCGCCGTGGAGTCTTTCCCGGTTAGCCTCTGAACCACCGATTTGAAACTCCGGGCGTCGGTCTCCACGTACTGTGTGCTGATTATCACCACCTTCAGAGGAGGCCTTCCTGCGCCGCCATTATTATTACTTCCTCCTCTAGACATCCTCGATCAAATCAAATGCTTTGTCGGAAAGACAGAATTTTTTAATTTTCTGCTAAAAAGGGTCAAGAAAATGACCAGGCCACTATATATGTTCCTTTAATATAGATCTGATCTTTAACAATTTTGCTTTTTCTTGTGTATTGGATTGGAAAATATATAGTTGAGAAATTACCAGGTTTTATGTATGCATGGCGGGGATATATATATATATATATAGAGAGAGAGAGAGAGAGAGATGTGTGGCGTGCAGGAAAGTTGAGAGTGAAAAGGAAAAAGGTGAGTTGACCGGCGTTAAGAATCAAACAAGGATCTGAGTCTAGAAAGGCTGTTAGATAATTGATGTAGTCAGACCAAGGTTTTGAGTTTCCAATCTGCAAGCGATAGGAAACTGCATTCAATTGGTTGGCATATTATAATCCACATATCCCAATTAAGTACATTATTTATATATTAAATGTACATTATTTAATAATATGGTCTATACAGCAATACTGTGTGAGCCATGGTCCACATAATAATGATTGGAATTGGTTCGATTAGGTCTCTACGCCAGAATTTTTTTAAAATTTAGAATAGGGTGTCTGGTAAAAAGTAAATTAAAAAAATTTGATCTCAACCATCTATCATGATTCATCAATAGTTGAAAATTTTAGTAAAAAGAAAATTTGAGATTAATTTTATAATTATGGTAATTTTTTTAGTTTTCAGTATTTATAAAAAGAATGTTAATACATTTTTCCTTTTATTTTTCAACAATTTTTTATTGTTTTTTTTTTATATTGTTGATCTATTCAAATAGATAGATCATATCAATCTTTAATTTTTATGTTGGAGCGTGTTCTCACCTGAATACTCCATTAAAATAAGCTATTTGTGTATACTAACTTGTAATATAACACCAATTTATTGAAAAATTAGTCTGGCTAGAAGCTAGGATTACCTAAATTTTTATTTATTTATTTTTTATATATATGTTACATGTCAATTTAGACGGATTGAATTTTATAGATTATGAAAGTTTAACCAAGAATGGAATTAACTCTAATATTCTATTTGGTTAGGCAATTAGTTCCATGCATGCATACGCAATAGGCGATATATATACTACCAATTCAATTCTAATTTTGAACCAGCGCGCAGTTTTTGAAGACTACACATTTGTAGCGCCTTTCCATTATATTATTATATTAGAAAAAATAACGTTTTTATTCTTATATTTATACAAAATAATAATTTTAATTTTAATTTTCAATGGTTGTGGTGAGTATTATTAATTATCTAATTATTTTTTTTACAAAGTAACAATTTTAGTTGTCCCCCTTTTCACAAAGTAGCAGCTTAACAACTTTAAGGTATTGATTATAGCTCATAATAGTAAAAGAGTTAATTTATTTTTTGTCTTAGATTTACATGTGATAATTCACTTTTAATCTTCTTTTCTTTTTCTTTTTTTTTTTTCAAAACATTCACTTTTGGTCCTAGTATTATTGTGGCATGATCATTTTTGGTCATCTATCAACAAAATAGTTTAAATGTCGTTAAATATAAGAATATTTCAGTCCTTAATTATGAATTTTTTCAAAAAAAAAAACATAACAAATATAATGGGTCAACCAATTAACTTTATATAAAACAAATCAAAATATAATTATATTTAAGGGTATTTCAACGATTTTGTTAACGGAAGAACAAAAATGGTCATGTCACAATAATACTAGGACCAAATGAGAATGTTATGATAAAAAGTACTAAAAAAGTGGACTATCGCCTATAAATCTAGGATAAAAATGGAATTAACTCTTCGTATAAATTAAAATTAATTTCATTCAAACTAAATTAGTGTTATATATATATATATATATATATATATATATATATATATATATATATATATATATATATATATACATGTTGTCTATTATTCAATTTTATTTTAAATCTTACCCATTAATTTTTTTTTTTAAAAAAATTATATCCACATGAAAATTAAATATAAACTTTTACACGCAAACTAGAAAGCACTGCTGAAGTAATGTAGTGTGTAACAGTAACATTTGAATATCAACTGAGATTCTAAGATCTGAAGCTGTTTATGAATGGAAACTTTGATAAATACGATGAGAACAAATTTGAATCACGACCAAAGAAAAATGTATCATGTTTGAATTCTATTCTAAAAAAAGGTTACGGTCACATCAATCCACCTTTGGGCTTTGGCAGTTATTGCTACATACCCACCATGCAAAAATGGCATAAACCTACGAAAACTATAACAAGTTGCATCATGTGATTTGTTCAATTCTTTGTGTCATTTAATTTTAATGTGAATCGAAGCTTAGCTTGGTCAACACAAAATGGACCATCCAGTCAATGCCCCTAAAACTTGTTCATTGAATATTCAATGCTACCAAGCTAGCTAGATGTAATCATGTTTACATGCATATCAATTTTGTCCACACTCAAAATAATTTTATAAGTTTTGTTTTATTAGCACATAATTTTATGTCCTATATTTTTATTCATCATGCCCTCCTCTGCACAGGTCGAGTCACCGAAGAATGGGAAATTAAAAATACAAATTAAATACCTCATACAGCCAAGTACAGTATTATGATGATATCCTAGATACAACATATCATGCCCTCCCCTGCACAGGTCGAGTCACCAAAGAATGGAAAAATACAAATTAAATACCTCATCATACAGCCAAGTACAGTATCATGATGATATCCTGGATACAACATATTTACATCATAAATGTTTTCTAATATTACATGAGAAACCATATATTCGGTTTCTCAGTGAGAAGAATGCAAATTTCGATGACAATTTCATCAGCGGTTCATCGCACTCAATTCCAAGTGCAATTTCCCAGGGAAAAAATGTTGAGATCGACTGGATTTGTACAAGAAACCTTGGGGTAAGCTGGGTAAGCTGTTGCTAAAACTTTTAAAGCATAACGAGTTAATATTACCCTATTAGGGTTGAAACCTAAGACCTTCTATTTGTGCCTTCAAATCACTAGATCACAAGATCATCTAATATATATATATATATATATATATATATATATATATATATATATATATATATATATATATATATATATATATATTGTGCGCGATGCGCACAAAATAGGTGCCCAATATTAATACTTTATATTAAAATTTTAAGTTTATTTAAATTATTCTAAATAATAATAATAATAATGTAAATCATTTTTATAAATTTGATATTTATATTTATGTAATAATTAACATATAACTCAAATATTTAATGTATATATTATTATTAATGAATAAGATAAGAAAATATATGGTGGATGCACGTGCATGGTAACAATAGTGGAAAAGATAATGAAAGTTATAACGGTAGGGGTATAACTTATGCTGGAAAATCCATAAAATTGAAATCGTCACATACGAATTAATGAGTCAAAATAGTCATTAGATTCAAATCCAATCATTGCTTCTACGACAAGATTATAGTCCTACCAACACGTGCAACGTGGACTTTTCTATGTCCACACCATTTCAACTCAAAATTTTGATTAATTTGACTCAAAACTTTTATAAATCTTGAGTTATTAGAGATTCAATATATACTAGAAATAACTGATAAACTAAATTATATACTATGAAGATAAAATGGAAAGTTCGACACAATTGGGATTTTTTTTTTTTGAAATTGGAAGCAGTTACTAATTCATGAGCTGGCATGTACAGAATGAAAACTTCATTCTCGATTCTACGAGAATTTTTCATTTTTTTCCCATTTCATCTTAATTAATAAAATTAAAAACAATAATCAGCATTATAATTTATAAATGAACCATTTTTGAAAAATATTTTGGATGTCATCAAGGAGAGAGGGAGGCGAAAAAATCAAAAAAGGAAAAAAAATAGTTAAATATCAAAAGGTCTTTTAGAAGATAATTGGCCACATGGGCGCGTGCAGCGCGCTAAGGGCATCTTCACTAGTTGGAAATTTTACCCCAGATTTTTATAGGGTCCAACATTCACCTCATCATCCACTATCTCACTCAATTTCAAAATCTCTTCTTCCCATTAGTTTTAAGTTTTTTCACAACTTTTTGTGGACGCACCATTTTATCTCCATATTTCAATTATTATTTTTTATTTAATTTATAAATTTATAATTTTATAATAAACATAAATTGCATACGTAAAATTTGCAAGCTTCATTTCCGAACTTATAATTAAAATAAATTGTGATTAACAATTAAAAAAAAAATTATGAATTAACAATAAAAAAAATTGTGAGTAACAATAAAAAAAATATGGATTAACAATAAAAAATAAAAATTGCAAGCTTTCAATTTGTGATTAACAATAAAAAAAATAAAAAATAAATAAATAATTTGTGCCGTTGCAAATTGCAACGGCACAAATGACAAAAATTAAAATGATTTTAGAGTGGCCGCCTGGCATAAGGGTGAGACGAACCTCACCCTTCATTTATTGTTTAAAAAAAAAAAAAAAAAACAATTTCTGACAAATTATTGTGAAAAGTTTGCTATCTCATTTGTCAAAAAGCAATTCATGGAGATTTACTGTGCTAAAATGTGGGAATGAACCCCTTATATTGGAGTTGCCCTAATGACAGTTATTTATTATTATTATTTAAATCAATTTTGTTTTTTTTTTTTCTCTCCCCTCCCATCTTCTCTTTCCTAATCACACTTACAAAAACTCATCAAAAACCGTAAAAAAAAACCCTCTCATCTTCACTTTCCTAATCACACTTACAAAAACTCCTCAAAAACTACAAAAAAACTCCACCATTATATTGTGGATGCTCTTACTCGAGTTATTCACACAATTTTTTAGTCATCAAAAATCGTGAAAAACCAATCCCTCCTACATGGGAGGGAAGTTTTTTTCCTTCTCCTTTCCAACCTACCTCATTGGGTTTGTTTAAAAAACTAGGAAGCAAAATATAGAAAATTAACCAGCACAAGTATGAGAATTAACAGTGGT